GAGGAGAGAAGCTAGGACTGCAAAAGCCTCTGAGTCTGGTCTGTGCAGGTCATGAAACCTCCCATCAGGTTTTCTCCAGAGGCCTATTACAGGCAGGAACCTTGCCTGTCCATGGTGTCTCTGTCGCTAAACCAGGAAATCCACTACCCTTGCCCTCATCTGCCTTCCTAGAACCTTGGGAGCTTGGGAGGTGCCCAGCATTCCTGCCCAGCTGACCACAAGTCCCTTCCCCATCCTGGCAGTGTTAGGCTCCAGGGGAGACAAGAAGCAAGCCCCGACTGCCCAGCAAACCTCCACGGCCTTTTCGCCATGCGCCAGGAGCTGTGCCAGGTCCTAGAGATTCACCAAAAGAAGCATCACAGATTTTTGCCCTTTTTTTGTTGTTGTTGCCTATTTTGCCTATTTTCAAGACAAAGCAGTAACACACATGTGGTATTTTGTGTTCTGCTTTTTCACAGAACAATGCCTCCCATGCATCATTTTCCCACAGTTGTATTTGTGATAAGCTTGAGGTGTCTATACAGCCTTGACAACAAGGTAGCCAGAAAATGTTAAAATTTAAATAAAACACTGGGTAAGATACAATTATCTCCATAACTGTCCATTATAAATGGCTGTGCTTTAATCGGATATTTAGATTTGAAACTTGGCACTATTTTGCTATTATTTTCCCACTATTTTGCTATTTTGTAATACTGCAATGAATATCTGTGGGTATATGTTCTTTTTTTCCCACAGGGAAAAAAATATATTGTATACAGTATAGCGGAAAGAATATATATTTTAGAGCCAGATAGATTTGGGTTCAAATTCTAGCTCTGTCGGTTAGGATCTATGTGACCTTGGGCAAGTTCCTTCACCTCAAGACACTTGGGTTTCCCTTTCCTATAAAGCCATCAGTGCTACTTATCCCAAGTGACAGTGGTGAGGATTACCTAATGCTAATGGGTAAAATCATTTTGAGATAGATCGGGATTTAAATTCTGGCTCTCCTGCTTAACTGGGACAAGATACTCAACTTCTGTTAAGCTGTTTCCCTCTCTGTGAAATGGAAATTCAAATATGTATGTAATGAGGTTCTTGGGACAATTAAATAAATACATATGACATGTTTAGTACAGTGCCGAGTACACAGTAGGGGATCGATAAAAGTTAGCAGTCATTATCACAGTAATTACTATTATTACAGAAGAAGGCAGCACTTAATAAATGCTGGTACCTCAGACTCCTACTAATGAGAAATATCCAAGAATCGGAGACTGGGTCAAGGGTAAGGCATATGTTCATAAGCAGCGCCATATTGTTCACCAAAAGAACCACACACCACTAACAGCATGCTGAATCTATCCACTTCACGGCCATCCTCACCAGCAGTTTTTATTCTGTTATTTTTAAATACTTCAATTTTTACTTCTTTATTACTGCAAAGGTGAACATTTTCTCATAACATTTTGTTTCCTGTTGGGATATCTTCTAACATGAACACCTTATTTCTACTTTGTTTATCAGTTTGAATCTTGGTGTTTTTCTTCAATATTTGAATAAATTCTTTGTGTATCAGGAACATAATATTTAATGCAAATACTTTCCAGAGAGGGCTGGTACTGATGCGGGAAGACCAGGGCTAGATCTGTGCGTTGATGAGCATTTCTACGGGTGGGGCTGTTAGGTCTTGTGTGGGGAACTCAACTACTCCCACATCAATCTCTAGGCATCTCCAGTCCCACATGACACTGTAGTTCAAGGTTTCTAACTAAAAGATCGTTCTTAGTTGTCTTGTAGACATTTCAAGCCCATCATAGACATAATTTAAACTCCTCGGTCGTCCCCCAACTAGCAAAATTTCCAAACTTCTCCGTTTGGTCCCTTAATGTCCTAGCCAAGTTATCTGGCTATTGTTTCTCATTGCAAGTACCCTCTCTGTCCACCCCATTTTCCAAAGTTTGCGTTAGACCACTTTACTTTAAGGAAAGACCTACACTAGTCCCTGTTTTGGCCAAATGGAATCCAAAGAGCATTTTTACTTTTATGGAAAAAGTTAAAAAGCCAACCTAAAGTCTAGCCTACGTTTGGGAGGGAGGCAGCCCACAGCCCAAGCAGCCAGAATGGCATACTGCCCAGCTCCTTCTCGAAGGAGCCACACTCAGCATCTCAGCACCAAAGCTGCAATGCCTTTTTTTTAAAGTGGTTTTTTTTTTTTTAACTTTTTAAAGAGATTTTATTTATCAAGAGTGGGAAGGGGCAGAGGGAGAGAGAGAATCTCAACCAGACTCCATGCTGAGCGTGGAGCCCTACAAGGGGCTCTATTTGACCACCTGAGATCAGGACCAGACCTGAAATCAATCCGGAGTCTGAGGCTCCAGCCACTGAACCGCTCAGGCGCCCCCAAGCTGCCACAGTTCTGAATTGTGTGAACGAACATCTGTGCTTTATCTCTTTATTTCGTGCATTCTTTAACAAAGATGCATCCTACGGTTTCAGAAAAGCCTAAAAGACGTTATTTTTGGTGTCTGGGAATGCTCAAAAAATTTTCCATATGAACTCTTGGTAATTGCTTCTTTCCTTTATGCTGTGTGGGCTTGTGAAGCTTTCTTAGGAAATGCTTTATTTTTGGATAACGGGGAAAATCTGCAGAGCACAAAGCCCTCCCAGTCTCTCACACGGGTCTGTGGTACAGTGTCCTAAGTAATACTCTTGTATGAGAAGTCACGTGTTCTGACTTTTGATTTGGAAAATATGATCATACATATCAAGAAAATGAGCTGAGGCAGCCAAGTTGACATGTTATCTCGGGCCTTTTTCACATGCCCGCATCTGCTACTGAAACCCATGCACGTGAGCTGGTACTTAAGCAGAACAACGCCCAGGAGAGGGCTATCCAGTGATGGGTGTCTGACTGTGGGATTCGGGAATTAACCAGGGGGAAGTAAAGTACTAGAAATAACTGTCTTCAGCATTTGGCCCAAGTGTCTGCTGTCCTTCAATTACTTTTATATATTAATGGTGACATTTTTGAAATTATTGAGGGTAATTATTGTAACAGTTTAATCGTTAGCAGTACTGATTTTGTCTTAGCATTATGCCTTCTTCTGTGCATGCCCCAGTTCTGATATCAGTGCCACGCTATCAGAAAGGGTGTTTCAACCTTCCTCCTGAGGGCCAACCCAATGGCTTTGCCCCCTGTGTGTAGTTCCAGGTCCCCCTAAGGGCAGCTGTCCTGGGCACCATGAGCTGCTATTGGGGAAACACAACAGAGCAAGCAGCAGTCCAGATACAAAAAATCAAAATTCCCTTGAATGAAAATTAAACCAAATAATCTCACTATTTCTAAGACCACAGTTCATGAAAAGCACGTTGATAGTAACATCCTAAGTGGAAGCTTCCCCCCCATCATTTCCTAATTCTCCCATCAATTTCCCCAAGAATACATACTGGATCACGTATGAAGCCTCCAATGACACACACCAAGAGTCACCAGTTCCTTAGTCCTTTTGGGAAATGTGTTGAAAACAAACTGCATACAATTCTAAAGTTCTCCTTCCTGAGGCTGGGTGTGCCTGTGTGTAGGGCACGTGCATATGTGTGGGTCCACACATGTGGATGCGTGTGGGTGTGAACACAATGTGCCCACACAGTGAGGAAATGGTGGAGCCTATTTTTCTAAAAGCAGAGTATGATGGCATGAAATACACATCCTCACCCTTCCAATACTCGTTACTCCCCACAGGAGCTGTAACTGCTGAGAGGAGTGAAGACCGGGCTTTGAGCCCAGTGTATTCTAACTGCTTCTACAAAGACCAACGAGGGTTTTCCTATGTGAAGAGTATCTTTGGAGGGTTTTTTTTGGGGGGGGGGGGCGGGGCCGAGGGGGGTTGGCCAGTGCAATCTTTGGAAAGAGGTGGAAACCTAGAAGCGACATCACAAGAAGCTGCTCGCAAACAAAACGGCTTTCTAAATTCGAGTCAAGGATGTATTTTTGGTCTGAGAGTGATGCCCAGAAACACCTTCCACAGGCACCTGGAGAAAGCCCTGAGGGGTCTGTTCTAGAACTGGTGAGCAAGTCGTTCTATTCATTCCAGGACCACACTTTCCCACCAGAAAAACTGGTTACTTTACATCCCAGGCAATTACCGGTCGATATCGTTCTCAGGTATCTAACCCCCACCGGTAACACTGTATGGCAAGATCAAGGGTGAAATTTCGCAGCAACTTCTCGCCGGGAGCGCCACGCGCAAGGAGACCCGCCCATTCCAGCGGCTCCTCGCGCCCCAGTGCGAGGCCGGCTCGCCCCGCAGCACGGCCAGTTCCTGGAACGCGGCCTGCAGGGTGGGAGCCCTTCGCCGCCAGGGAGATGCCGCCTCGCCCGGGCGCCGCGGACGGTGGGCGCGGGGTGGAGACAGGCAGCTCTGGGGTCGCGGACGAGTGTCGGGGCGAGGGCGGACCACGGGGAGGACCTGGGCAAAGAAGCACGTGGGTGCGCTCGGGCCAGGATTCCGCCCCATTTCACCCGCCCACCCGGCCTCCGCGACGGCCCGGAGGCACCTGAGCGCGCAGCACGGCGTCGTCGGCTGCCGGGACCGTCGGGACCCAGCGGCCGACCGCCGCCCACGTGCGTGTGCCGCCCGGGGCGCCTCAGCTCCGCGGGACCCATTCCGGGAGAAACGCTCGGGAAAACCTGCCGGCACGGCGAGGGCAGGGTCGCTCCGCAGCGCCCCGCAGGCTGGCGGGTCGGGGATGCCGCGCGTGGGCAGAGCACAGCCGGGCTCCCCACCGCGCGTCAGAGAGCCGCCGAGCTCAGCTTTCCCCCGCGGATGCTGCGCGTACCCGGGCCGCGACAGGTGCGCCGCGAGGGCTCCGCGCGCGCCACGAGGTCCAGTAGGGGAGCTCCGCGCGCTCCAGGGGGTCGGGTGTGTGGGGGGGCCGCGCGCCCCGGGGGTTTGGGTACCGGGGCCCCCGCGCGCGCCGGGCCCCTGCAGAAGACAAAGGAACTCGTTCTCTACCTGATCCTGTCCTTCTCTGCCCTCTGGAGCTCCTCATTTCTTTCCAGCACCTGGAGGATCTTCCTGGCCTCCTCGTCATTTAAGAAGCTGAAATCAAACCCCTGAGGAGCTTCCGTCATGTTCTCTACCGCGTGTGAAAGAAGCTCCTTGGCGCCTCCTGTTACGAAGACATTTTTCAAAGCAGCGAAGACCAGTTTCAGGAATTTGGTCCCGGAGCCAATAAGAAGTCCGCCCCTTTGAAAATCTACAACCACAAACTTCGGGAACGGCCCACACCTACGGGGCTCATTTCGACAACACCTTAATGACAGGGTTGTGTCAGCCTCTCCAACCGAGACGCAGAGCGATCGGCGGCGCGGGCAGAGGGAACCAATCCCATTCCAAAGGGAGGGCCCTTGGGCGGCCCTCCTCCCCCTGCCCCTCCACCGCCTATCACACTAGTTAAAGTAACAATCCTGCCTCTTTGGGCACGGAAATGAGGCCCGAGTTTAAGGGTTGGCGCCAAAGTAGTGTTTGCTTTGGCCGGTGGTGTTTGCTCTCAGAACTCCAGCTGGACTAGCAGAAGGAGTGAAAAGGAATGAGATCCACAGCTAATCCTCCTTTTCAGTAAAGAGCTCAGGGAAGGAGAGTCGGAGTGGGACCTTCAGATCTGGTACAAAAGTCCCAGAAGGACTGAACCATATGGAGAGGAGACAGATCTGAACAAGGAACAGGGGCTAAATCGAGTGCATCCCTGGAAATGAGTTCTTCGCCAAGCCTCCCATCCCGCAGACATCCCCAACTCATCCACCTGCAGAAGTCATTATCGAGCTTTGGGAGGGGGAAACGAAACGAAACAAAACAAAACAAAACAAAAACTTTTAAAAACCACAAGATGGTTTATGGTATCTTAGGAGGAGACAGCCCCGCGGCAAGGGATGATGAAAATCACCTGTTTGTAGTTTTCTCTAAGATTTGATAATCTTCTTAATAATTTCAGAAATGTCACTCAAGTGCCACTTTCAAACACCTAATCCTCTGACTAAAGAAAATGTAATCCTTTGAAACCACAGAAATAGCTTTCCTAGAAAGTATTTTTCAGAGACAGGATGGAAGTTTCTTTTTTTTTTAATCTCCATTTAAAAAAAATAATTTTTTATTTTTTTATTAACATATAATGTATTACTAGCCCCAGGGGTACAGATTTGTGATTCTCCAGGTTTACACACTTCACAGCACTCACCATAGCACATAACTTCCCCAATGTCCATCACCCTCTCCCTAGCCCCCTCCCGCGCCCCCCCCCACACCACAACCCTCAGTTTGTTTTGTGAGATTAAGAGTCTCATGATTTGTCTCCTTCCCGATCCCATCTTGTTTCATTTATTCCTTTCCTACCCCTCAAACCCCCCACGTTGCCTCTCAACTTCAGGATGGAAGTTTCTGAATATATTCTTATGTATATACTTTTTAGAAAGTGTTGTCCTGGGAGCACAGGGGTGCAGGAATGCCTGGCTCCAGAGGTCCCAGACAGCCCAGATTTGGCCACTGGCCACTAACAAATTCCAAAGGCAGAGAAATGAGTGGTGGTGAAACAAAAAGGGACTTATTCTGGTGAGGCCAACACTGGGAAGACAGTGCACTAGCATCTCAAAGGCTGCCTCCATAGTACTGAAAATACTCACCGGTTTAGATAAGAAAAACTGTGGAAGAAAGATCAGTGGGGAATGCAGGTGGGCCGTCAAGGTCAGGTGGGTCACGGTCTTGGGGTCCGTCATGTGGGGTCTTGCTGGCTCAGAGCTGGCTCCTCCCTGATGTAGAGGGTAGTTCAGGCCCCACCAGGGGAGGCTTTGCTCTCAGGGTCTTTCACCCGAGTTAAGAGATAAACTGGAAAGAACTTAGAAAGTACGAGACACTAGAGAATGGAGACCGTTGAAGTTCCTCTTTCAGCATCAAGCCTTTGGCAGAAAACGTGTTTCTTTCATCTTAACTTTTGGCACGTAACTAATTTTGTGGGCTGCCTGGGTGGCTCAGTGGGTTAAGCCTCAGCCTTCAGCTCAGGTCATGATCTCAGGGTCCTGGGATCGAGTCCCACATCGGGCTCTCTGCTAGGCAGGGAGCCTGCTTCCTCCTCTCTCTCTCTCTCTCTCTCTCTCTCTCTCACCTCTCTGCCTACTTGTGATCTCTCTCTGTCAAATAAATAAAATCTTAAACAAAACAAAACAAAACAAAAACAAACAAAAAAACTAATTTTGTCAGATCAATTTGCCTGCCCAGAGCGTGCCTTTGGTTGCTCCTTACACCGTGGTAAGCACCGCTAACATTTAAAGTGTACTTCCACAGGTATTGTCTCTTTTCATGGCAAATGGACCCAATGAAGATTTTGTATCTGTAACAAAAGCATAATGTCAAAAATGACTATTTACATCTTGGCCTCTGGGTCCTCTCCTCACTTTGATCATTGTTACTTAAGACATGCCTGGGCAGGTCCCCATTCAAATAGTAACTTTCCGTGGGTGGCTGTTTGTTACTTCTCTGAAGCAGGAACCAGCTGGGTTCACTAACGCTGTACAACACACAGAACTTCTTCTAAAATAGTCTGTGTAAATGATGGTGGATTAGGAGTGTGGCTTATATATGATCTCCGTTTTTTCTACTCGGTAATGTGTTTATTTCTTCCACATACATATGGGACTTCTTCATGTGGGCACTGGTAGGCTTTTATCCTGTTCCTGGTGTGTATCAGTGAATTGATTTCAACTTCCATGTACTGGTGCCTCCTTTCGAGGGCACTGTACACTGCGAAGAAGATTCTCCTTGTCTTTGGGAAGTTTATAATACAGTGGGGGAGATGACACAGATAGAAAAAGGACTAAGGACAAAGACGAACATAATAAATGTATCAAGACAATTCTAGTAGAGGACAGAAAGAAGTTTGTTCCAGCTGAGTGGATGAGGGAGAGGACATGGTATTTGGGTTGTAACATGAAGGCCCAGATTTCAACAGGAAGACATGAAAGACAGTGGGAAGAGATGTGAGTCTCATCTGGGCCAAGAAAACAGTGCACTGAAGAGCAGAAGTATACTCCAGGAATCTGTTCATAATCCCTCAACTACTCTGACAAATGACCAAAGTGAGCAAAATTTGGGGAGCTGGAAAATATAGGGGCTTGCCCAGGGATTGGCAAATGAGCTGTTTTGGCTAGAATGGGCATTCTACATCAGGGTGATATTGGGACCACCATAATGAAGAAGGGGTTGAAAAACACTGGGCTAGTGCATAGGACTTATGTAGAGAGTAAGTAAGGCTGTGACTTGACTATGAACGCCGTGCTCAGGAATCTGGACTGCATTGTGTAGGCCAGGAGAGGTCAAGAGAGGTTTTGAGGATGACAGTGGTTTTCTTTGAAACCGAATACTGGGGACAGTGCTCTGATAGCAGAAGATGAGGAAAAGTAGAAGCAAGATGGTGACAAGGTCCCCACGGTGCTGGAATGCTAAGGTAGGAGACAGGGGACGAGAGACCCTAAACCAAAGCGGTGGGCGTGGGCATACGAGAGGGTTAGACTCCAAAGACGTGGAGTGGGGACAAGAACCTGGCTGGTTCAGTCAGGAAAGCACGTGACTCTTGATCTCAGGGTTGTTCGAGCCGCATGTGGGGTGTAGAGATTAATTAAAAATAAAATCTTAAAAAAAAAAAAAAGCCAAAGACATTGGCTGGACTTTGAAACTCATCGGATCAGAGGGTTAAGAAAGAAGGAGTTGGAAAGATGATGCAAGATTTAAGAGAAGAGTCTGGAAGGAGAGAAGTCTCTTTGATGATAGGTGCTGCATAAGGTTTGTAAAACTATCAGGAGTTCAGTTTTATACATAAAGAGTTTGAGAGGAGCACCTGGGGGGCTCAGAAGCATCTACCTTCGGCTCAGGTCATGATCTCAGGGTCCTGGGATCAGAGTCCCATGTTGGGCTCTCTGCTCAGCAGGGAGCCTACTTCTCCCTCTCCCTCTCCCTCTCCCTCTCCTGCTGTGCTTTCCTTCTCTCTCTCTGTCAGATAAATAAATAAAATCTTTTAAAAAAAGAGTCTGAGGTAACCTGCAATTTGTGTACATGGGGATACGCAGCAAAAGTGAGAAATTTGGGACTGGGAATTCTTGAAATAGGGTTAGAGAAGTAGGTGTGGAAGTCTTCTGCTCAAATGTGATTTCCACAATCCTGCAGCCAGATACGACAGCTGGAGCAGAGAGTGGATGACGAGGAGAGGCTGAGTTCAGAACCTTGAATGGCCACATCAGACATCAGCACCGAGGCATGCTTCTCGGAGCCCAATGGGGCATGTGATTGAAGAATTTCTACACTGAATTTCTATATTGAGACATTTGCAAGGTGTTAGGGGTTGCCTAGGATCTGTGGACTGTAAACTGAGTGACTTTAAAGTCAGAATAGTTTTCAAAGAGTTGTTTCATGGGCTCATTCTGTCACCCCCAAACAGCCCTTTCCAAGCTCAGTATTTGGTAACCCTGGCAACCTCCTGCCCTGCCTGTCAACTGGAGAGATACTCATCAATTTGTTTTTTAATAGCAACAACTGGATAGGGAGCGATAATCTTTAGAAATCTCCTGTCTTCTCCAGTATAAGCAGAGGGCTTAGCTGTTTTTCTTCCCAAACTGTTGATGCAGCCAAGAGAACCACTGATCTTTCGTGTATTTGACCAAAAGTCTGAATTGTTGTCACCTAGTCACCTACGACTCCAGCAGGCCATTGAAAATCATCTCGGTAGACTGGGGATTGTTTTCCCAGAGGTTTCTGCCCTACCCCCAGCGGGTTACAGGGTGAGTCTGGGAGCTAGCTCCCAGTTAAACAAGCAAATACAAGTCCTCTTGAATGTCAGGCTTTGGTAACAAGTCTTTGTTAGTAAATAAGAGATGTGAAACTCTGAGAAGGGAGTGCTCACAGATGTTCCTTTGAGTTCTCACCATTCTAATTGTTCAATGAATAGCTTTGCAAATCCAGGTAGAAAACTCTTTTTTTTTTTTTCCCCCTTGAGGCATCAGTTCTGAACCCACCCAAGCAGAATAAAGATTCCAGGGAGAACAACAGCTCCAACTCTCTAAAAGTTAGTTTTGTTTGTTTTTGTTTTCCTACAAAAGGAAGGATGGCAACAGAACCCACTTTGTAAGATTATTATAGAAATTCACGGAGATGATGCACATCAGTTAACAAAGTCAGTGCTCAGTAAATAGTAGCTGTGAGTAATATTCTTTGCACACAGAGCAGCCTACAATTTTAAAACTAACATTTTTGCTGACTTCAGAAGCATGAGTTTATCAAAGTTTGGGCA